CAGGTTATCTGTACCAATCCCAAAACACTCGAGGGGAGATCAAAAAATGAAGGAAGAATTTTTATGTTGCGGTAGCTAGCAAATGAGAGAAAAAGATACAGTTTGGGGGCACTGCGCTAGTCGGCAAAGTACACAAAACGTCTAGATACGACACATAAGTCATAAGGTTGCTGAAATTTTAAACAAGGTGTATTTTGCGTGAGACCAAACTTAATTCCTTTTAGATTTGCAAGCGGCACCCAGCTCTTTTCGTAGCATCGGGTGTACGTTAATTCTACGTTGTGCTAGGTAAAGCCAATCTAGATTGAAAATAGCAAGGCGATATTTACAATCGAGATAAAAAGCGTAAGTAGTATATGATTTTGTGCAACTCATTATCACGGTACCATGGGCACGCAGAAAGCTGAAGCTGGCATGAATAAATGTCAAGGTGCAGAGCCTAGTCAGAGCATTGCAATGTTGGTATATATCCGCCGCCTTCCACGGCAACTGTTCTGCAGATGGATACGAATGCAGCCGGTAATGCACTCTAGTGTACTAGTGATAAACAATGCCTTGTTAGGACAGTGGGAACGCGAATCTTTCAGGTCCACTGCGGGCACCCATTTCGCTTACAACTCAGCCAAAGTAAAAATGGAATTAGACGAATGGACGTTCACGACTCGCATTTATAGCAAACTGAAACCCGGAAAGTAGCGCTGTAATCGATATCGGCTTCAGATCACTTTTCATTAGTAATCACACACAAGCATCACTAAGTTCCGCAGGAACCACAGAGCACGTCATGTTTTCTGGCCCACTGGAAACGTGGACCGATCACTCCTCGAATAACAAGGAGAGAGGCCCTCGTCCGAGAAAAAAACAGAGGCATTCTACGTTGGTATCCGATGCTTGTGTTTGCTTTAGTCTTGGTTTTACCCCATCTCTCGCCCAGCTTTTGAGAATACCTACTACTTATCGGTCCTCTTGGATAAAAAGCGTCACCGAAAACCTTGACTTATATTCCTGAACCCGAAAAGAACTAACCCAGGATCACCCACAGTGTCTCCGAAAACCGGTTTGAGGCACGAAACTATAGCGGCTGGAGAATGAAAGGGTAAATCTTGGACAGCATGGCCCAACCGGGCGTGTTTTATGCTCCTTCTGTTGCTATACAAATACCAAAATTTACCAAAATTTACCAAAATTTACCAAAATTTACCAAAATTTACCAAAATTTACCAAAATTTACCAAAATTTACCAAAATTTACCAAAATTTACCAAAATTTACCAAAATTTACCAAAATTTACCAAAATTTACCAAAATTTACCAAAATTTACCAAAATTTACCAAAATTTACCAAAATTTACCAAAATTTACCAAAATTTACCAAAATTTACCAAAATTTACCAAAATTTACCAAAATTTACCAAAATTTACCAAAATTTACCAAAATTTACCAAAATTTACCAAAATTTACCAAAATTTACCAAAATTTACCAAAATTTACCAAAATTTACCAAAATTTACCAAAATTTACCAAAATTTACCAAAATTTACCAAAATTTACCAAAATTTACCAAAATTTACCAAAATTTACCAAAATTTACCAAAATTTACCAAAATTTACCAAAATTTACCAAAATTTACCAAAATTTACCAAAATTTACCAAAATTTACCAAAATTTACCAAAATTTACCAAAATTTACCAAAATTTACCAAAATTTACCAAAATTTACCAAAATTTACCAAAATTTACCAAAATTTACCAAAATTTACCAAAATTTACCAAAATTTACCAAAATTTACCAAAATTTACCAAAATTTACCAAAATTTACCAAAATTTACCAAAATTTACCAAAATTTACCAAAATTTACCAAAATTTACCAAAATTTACCAAAATTTACCAAAATTTACCAAAATTTACCAAAATTTACCAAAATTTACCAAAATTTACCAAAATTTACCAAAATTTACCAAAATTTACCACCAGCAACGGTCAAAATTTTCGCCAACGGGGAAAAAGACTTCGTCCCCCAAAGCCAAATGCCCGAGCAAACCGGGCTCCCACGGAACGAAAAAACCCCGCAATTCAAAAGCATCCCCAGAAACCACGAAGGCAGGCCCCGTTGGATCCTTGGACTTAAACCGGGCACACAAATATTAGGTCTGCTAACAAACTTGATCCCTCAACTTTCGGCTCCTCACCCACAGAGGCAGCAGAGTCAGTGTTGGAATATTTGTCCACAAACTGCCTCAGCCTTTTCAACAAACTCGGCGATGTTAAACATTCGGGTTGCCTCGAACAATTGTCCATAAACGCACTTACAGAGACCTGCTCACACCAGATGTCTCTGAAGCGGAGATCTTGATAGACGGTTACTCTATTTTTCAAGCCGACTCAAAACGAGGGAGTGTTGGTGGGGTTGCTCTGTATTTACATGCGGCCCTACCAAACCGACTGTCCTCTCTGACACCACCCCGGCACCCTTTTGCGATGCACTGTGGGTCCGAATCCCGCTACGCGGGTTCGATTCTCTCCTTCGTGGCGTGGTCTACCGTAGGTGGCTTCGACGCTCTAATCGCCTCCCGAATGGAGCTCCAGCGCATCGAATCAGGCGGACTTTTTGCGACGGCGATGTTTGAAATCGTTCAACAGAGCGCTTGGATCCAACATGTCATGGCACCCACCAGATACCGCGCAGGCCAACTACCATCCCTCTTGGATTCGGTCATCACCAACGAAAGACGCTTCGTTGATCAGGTAACAATTAACGCTCCGCTGCGACATAGCGACCACTGCGTGTTGACGTTTGGTTCCATCCGCTATTGGGCCAGAAACCCCGAAAGTCGATCGTGGTTTCGAGACTTCTGTCGTGCAGGCTTCTCGGGAATGCGCATCTTCATTGAACAAGTCACACTGGGACCAGCTCCGGTGGAGGAACTATATAGGACCATTGTCCAGAAAGTTCACAAGGCTGACGCGACGTTCGTCCCACAAAAACCCGTCGCGCCAAAAAGGATTCGGCGAACTCTGGAAATCCGCCAATGGAACATACGAAGACAAGCGATCATTCTGGACCTCGCTCGAAAAAAACAAAAACATCTTCAATTACATGAGATTATCGCCGCAGAAACAAGCCATCCGCGTTCTCCTTGAGGGACAGAAACGGAGAACCGACGAATGACCGATCAGTGGTATCTGAGTTTTACAGGGAACAGCATGCGTGTCTATACTCAGCACCAGCGTCATCGTCACATACACTCTTGTCAAGGCGAACTACGAACAGCCTCTAACCGACCTGGTCTTCACGGTGGAGGACATTCGTCAACTCTCGCAAAAGATCAACCCATTCTGCGCGTTGGAGCCCGACGAGGTCCATCCAAGGATCCTGAAGGAAACGTCCTCCACACTGGTTAATCATCTACAGCTGGTGTTTCCGCCAGTCGCTTGCTGAAGGCCGCCTTCCCTCTGCTTGGAAGGAATCGGTTGTCACGCCAATCTACAAAACTGGTGACCGACTGTCGCCTGGCAGCCACAGGCCCATAAGCCTCACTAGCGTGCCATGTAAGGTGATGGAACGCATTCTGAAGCGAGCTATCCTAGATCACCTTACTTCCAGCAACCTGATATCTCCAGCTCAACACGGATTTCTCCCACACCGCTCTGGCGTGACAAATATGCTCGTGTATATGGAAAGCTTAACCCACGCCAAGGACGAAGGACTCATATTGGATGCCATATTTTTCGACTTCTCAAAAGCATTTGATAGGGTCACACACGGTCCGCCGCTCCACAAACTCGAGTCTTACGGGATTCAAGGTAAAATCTTTCGCTGGATCAAGGCGTTCCTATCAGACAGATCATTCCGAGTGAGAATAGGCTCGACCTATTCCTCTCCAGCACCGGTCTCCATTGGAGTTCCTCAAGGCTCCGTCTTGGGACCACTCCTATTTCTGAGCTACGTCGACGACCTCCGAGACATTCTTGCGAGTCCATGTTTACTTTTTGCGGACGACTTGAAATCCTGGAGCTCCAATGCCAGTGCCCTCCAAATGGATGTTGGCACTGCCAAGCAGTGGTCGTTGGACTGGCACCTTCCTCTGAATGATTAAAAGTGCGTCCATGTGTCGTTTGGAGGGGATTCAACGGGTGCTTTTGTTATGCATGGTGGAAAGGGACCGGAAAACATCACGAGGGTAGATGCCAAAAAAGATTTGGGCATTTGGGTCTCCTCAATCTTGTCCTTCTCACTACACTATGAGAAATCGACCCTCATTGAGCGTGTCCTGCGGGCCGCCACGAGAATGGTTGCCGGCCTCAAATCCGTGGACTAAGAAACGCGTCTGGCGACGCTTGATCTCTTTCCCCTCCGAGGAGACCTAATTCTTGCTTACGTCCTGTTTGAACAAAGCTTGGCAAACAGGCTTTTTACCGTTGACCCAGCAAAAACCCGGCGGGGACGCAGTAAGAAAATGTTCACGCTCAGGGCACACAGATTCATTAGAGAACTTTTTTTCATTTCGGGTAGTAGCTGCGTGGAATGACCTTCCTCCGACAGTTGTACACGCTCCTTCCAGAACCCAATTTAAAGCACTATTAGACATTTATTTATGCGAATCCTCGAGCTGGCAAGCATACTGCCCCGCGCTGAGAACATAAAGAGCAGTGCTACACCCTTTTTTCACTTTTGCCTTTCGGGTGAACGACAGCCACTGACCGACAAGAACAAAACCGACCCGGGAATCTTGGGCAAAAGCCTCGGTCCTGTGTATCAATCCAAAAATCCGTGAATCCGTGAGCTTTGACAGCGACGTCACACCCTTTTTTGCTTGTGCCTTTACGGCCACCGTAATTCGCTGAACGAAAAATCAAAACTGACCATGGATGCTCGGTTGTAAGTCTTGAACCTTCGTATCAATCGGTGGACCATCGGTTAGTTGCCAGCACTTTCGTCCTGTGTGAACTGACCTTGTAGTGCATGCGTAAGGGCGTTGCAGGTTCTCATAAGTGGCGTCATTTTGATTTTCTACGCCGCAGGACTCTGTCGCGTTTAGATGCATTTTTTGGACCGTGAATACTCCATATGAAGGCTCAAGAGAAACAGTCCGATGCAAATGAGGATGAGTATCGATATTACTCGACTCCTTGGGTCAATAACTCAGCTGTTCCTAAACACGCTCCCAATTCGCTGCCCAAATTAGGTGGGAGTGGAGACCGCATTTTACCACATACCATTAACCTATGCCAATTGCAACTTTCACTGGGCATCCTCCAGTTGGATCCAGCAGATAGGGCAGTTATAAAGGTTGCAGGTTAGTCCAACTGACTAATGTTTCTACGTTGACATATTCGTTTACCTAACCGTTTTCTGCAATGAAGTTTCTTCTATTCGCTTATTTTTCACCGACTGGAAAGTAATTTCGTTGCTTAATGCTGGCGTGATAGATATGTAGGGATAAATATTTTCATGGATTTCCCCGCCTTTCATGTAGAGGTTTCGGGCGGGAAGATTTTTATATTTCCGAAGTGTATTTCCAAAAATCATCTGAAGGCAATCCTGAGTCCCTTCACAGACACGCACACATGCTTATAGAAGCTGACTGCGCGTTTCTACCTCTTAGAGCAACTGGAGATTGGTCGTAACCCACCAGACATACCACACTGCATGATTCAGCTCAGACTGTTTTACTGTGGTATTTGTTCAGGCTGAGAACAGGGAGCCGATTGGGATGATCCATTCTCAGTTCTGTTACCATCGTTCCGTTTATTTCGAATTAATTGTGCGGCAGCCATTGCCAAGTCACGGATAAACCACGCCATGTATATCGTTGCCACACTCTCCCAACCGTCTCCATGGACATCCTATTGATAATGCTTCTGCTACGTCAAATGATAACCTGTTTGATGAGGTTGAATGTTTCAGAGATTCACATCGAGCTAAGTTGTTTTTTTTTGGTGGAATCGGTTCCTTATATCTTTTGGTCTAGTTACAGGTCAGGTTGCATTTTATCTTCACTAAGGTTTCACCATTGAGTCAGTGCTCAGCAGGGCACTTAGCTTCTGTCGCCGACAACGGCCCCGAATGCCTTGAAATTGTTTTTCACATCTCGAAAGCCCTATTTACTTACCATTATTATTATCGTGATCATCATTATTATGATTATGATTAATTTGCCATTGAAGTTCGTACCATGAGGCAAGGATAACGGACTACTGTTGCCGTTACACTGGATTTCCGTCCATCACAGTCAAGAACCCAGGACGTCAGCGCTGTAATTTATTTGACTGTAACGTTGTCCTCTTCCTTTCCCATCTCTACTCGATTTGATATCCGCTAGTACTTGTCTCATCGCGATTCATTTGGCAACGTTTTTGAAAGAATCTCTAGTAATCGAAGTTTGTCATCATCGCTATCATCCTCATTCTCAGAGGCCCCCATTTTAGAAGGGGAGCAGCGCCGACAGTACTTTTTCTGTAGCCATCTCTGCTACTACAAGATCATATTCCTGTGACCCTTAAGTCTTCTGCACTCCGAATTAGGTACCCAAAGCAATCCTGTTTTCAGTAGATGGATTTAGTAGCGCATGAAGGAGCCCCTTTAGCTAACATTGTTGCATGTTTTTGTTAAGCAAAGTGTCTGCTATCTCACCAGCTATCCGTTCACTGCCATCCTATTGCAAATTTGTTGGTTGTAGTCGGTTATAGTCGTAATTCCGAGACATCGATGGCCAGAGACCTGAGATGTATCAGGTACTCCATCTTTAGCGGCCAGGTCTCGCAACAAAACTACAATACAGCCTATGTTGTGGTATGATACGCGCGTTCCTCAAGGTCCAGTCAAGTCTTTGGGACGTCACAAATGGTGCACAATGGCAGACGCATCTCCGACCTTTGGAGTTTGCGCTTTGAATCTGTCTGCCATCAAGATGAAAACCTTTCCAAATGTGTATAATGTCCCATTACTTCGAATGTCTCCTTGAATTCTTAGGGGCTTGCTCAAAGACTGTATCCTGGCTCGAGAAAGCGTGAGACTACATATTTGAACCTAACGTACCCATGTTACCGGTGACAACCAATAGTACGACAAATGCTTCAAACGTCTTCCATGACAGGGATTATCTTCGGTGTGCTGGGGGATGATTCACCCAAGATAGATGAGCTGGTCACATTCCATTAGTTGCGCGTGCTTGGTCACCTGCTCCGTATGCCAGTCTCCGTTTTCGCACAACAACACGAAGGTTGAAAACGAGCCAAGGTAGGTCGGGCAGCGACCTCCCATCGAAGTATGGAAGCGTTACCAAAAAACTCAGGTGCGCTGGTCATTGCCGTCTCTCTGGATCCCAAAATGGGCATATTGGTGGTTAAAGACATTGATAAACATGACTAATTCATGTAGCCAATTGCACACCTGCATCCAGGCTGTTGTCTTCAACGCATGGATTTCCGTCCCTATCTTCTAGAATGTAAAGTCCGCTGTCATTCCTGAACACAGCTGTCAAATACCAATCCTGCCCTCTCAGTTCGACGGCAAACGAAACTGTAACTGTCATAGCCACCGTGCAATGGGTATGCGGTTTACACACGAAGCTTATGACCGGCGGATAGAAACCGCCTTACTTTGTTTCGTCTAAACAACTGTACACTTTACTTTCGGGTTCCAGACGTGAATAGCCGGAGATAGCGAACCGACGTACATGGGCGCCTGGATACATGTGATCGGCATTCATCTGAACAACTGAACTGTTCTTCGAATTATGCAGTCCGTCTCTCTGGACGGCACGATAAGTTATGTCTATAATATTGTACATTCGACCTTCGACGGACAAATCGTGAACGCGAGATAATAGTGTCTTTGTCTCCGTACAGTGGAGCCTTGTCCGTTTCATTTACGTTTTACTTAAGACCTCACATCTTCGTAGCCTTCGGTGTGTGTTTTAGTCCTCTCCATCTTTTGTTACATACTGATTCAGATTGAATGGATCAGCGTTTTTCTCGCAAACCTATCACTTTGGAAAGCACCCTTTTGTGGATAAGGGCTTCGTTTCACCAACGTCTTCGTGTGCTGTCCGCGCTGCCATCTTAATTTTCTAACTGCTCTTCACCACCTGACTCGCTTCCGTAACGATAAATTCAAACCAACCTGTGTTGTTCTGTTTACCTGTTTTTGAATCGGATTCTGAGTTGGCTTGCTGCAGTTTTGAGTGAATACTCTCAGCGGAACTGAGGACGATGATTTTCCACTATGGACCGCCATTTGTAGCTTATCGCAACTTGGACCATTTCTGTTCATGGTTTGGTGGTCTCCAATTTACACAGTATCTTTTTTGTTTTGGAGCGTCATTTCGATAATGGCAGTCAGTCAGGTTCAGCTACCGGACACTATTATCTATGCGTTGTGCGTCGACAGAGAATTGCAAACAATCGCTCGTCCTTGGGGGACTCCAGATAATTTGAGCATTCATATCTCCAACCAAAATGAAATAGTTGAGATTTATTTTTCAGTACAGTTTTTCGAATTCATCTTCAAAGGACCCTTATTTACCCTCCGTTGTAGTGTAACCTGATACGTGAACGAGTTGAGTTTCTTGGGTAGTTGTAACTCTTGTCTTAGTGAACAACGTAACAGCAAGTAGGCGGCTGCTCACAACAGTTCAGTCAAATGAAGTTTCTCGCTCTGGAATTAATTACGATTCTGATCTCTCCTCCTTCGGTATGTTTATCTCAAGACACTTTTCGGTGATGACACTTCTGAGGCATTCTTACGGCTGCATGCAAAACGACATTGGGATTGGTTAATGTTCAATTTTCACGGATACAATACACACCAAGTTTCTTACTCGAAAGCTCAGTAGTCATAATGTGAACATGAAAACAATTGTCAATGAGCTATCAATCATTCAGTCTAGGTTATCTATACTTAGCGGGGTGAAAACCGCAGTTAAAAGTGGAATTAGGTTTTCACGGACAACAACTTCACCCTTGTAGTACTGTTGTTATCCTTCTGGGAAGATTGTCATTAGGCAGAGCCAGCAATCTGACCAATAGTCTGCTTAAAGTGGCCCTGCAGGGGACTTCGTATAATGGAGTACTGTGTCAGAGCGGGATTTTCAGTCGGGCACTGGTACGTGGTTCTAGCTCCAGCGTATGCAGTACCGATCAGCTTCGTGAAGGTCGAAGTGGATGTCACTTGTCATGGCTGCGTAGGGTTTTATCATCTGTCAATAACATATCTGGCTCTGGTTCTGCTTATCACACATAATCAGATAGCAGCCTATCTCGGATGTACAGGATAGTGACTGGAAATAATTTCGATTGATGTGGGAACCCTCTCGGTCCGGTTCTGTCGCAGTTTTCCTCAACTCTTCTATTCGGATTATGCACGCAAACCAACCACGAACTCACTTGAAACTGGAATTTTTTCGTCTTGTCAAAAATCGGTTTTAGATTACTGTTCTTTCAGCTTGCTTATCATTGAAGTGTGGAAACTTTAGGATAGAGAAATCTTACATGGTAGACGATAAACCTTTTCAGTCACATTCTTTGTTGAAGGGAATAGGGTGCTGCGTCGCATAATCTTACGTTTACTCAAGTAACTCGACAATTTCTCTACCAATGCAGCTTGGATGTGTTTTTAATAGGTTTCAAACAAGGTTTCAATGTGGCATTAGCTCTTACGAAAGGGAATACACGACATATTTGACTTTTTATACTGTTTCGCATGTGATCCTCTTTTAGTCATTTATTAGCTTTTTATTCTTTGTCTCTTTTTTTGTTATTCAAAGACCGTCGGGATGCAATACAGAAAAAAGCATTTACTAACTGGATTAATCATCACTTGTCTAAGGTGAGTGAAAAGCTGGTTACATTGGTTTCAGCAAATGCACTGTTGCCATTACCTTTAATGCACTGCTGTGTGCTGTGGAATCCTTGCACCTCATGAGGCCGTCGTGCCTTCCCAGTTGGGGTTCACTGGGTTCCCTGTACGTGGTTAGACACACTACTGGACAGTGGGATACGCTATCGATCTCAACAGCAAGCATACCCTTACTCAACCGAGTCACCTAGTTGGAGTTTGTCTGTCGCTTTGAGTTGGGCTGGCGCTGAGCAAGATGGCTCAGTAGTTAGAGCGCGAATTTACTGACCGGAATGTTCGTGGTTCGACCTCTCCATCTCAATATTCCCTGTCTAAGCTTGGGCAACTTTGCGGTATCCTAGTCCTCGTGCTTCCATTGGGTGGCATGGCAGCTAGGCACCGGAAGGGTGCTACAGCTGAACGCTCTCTTTGTTGGGTAGGGTTACCGAACAGTGCTTGTTCAGTCTTGTTGGTTGTATCTTATTATGACGTGATCCCCAGGTACGTTTATCCAACCGCTTTTCAAAAGTTAAGACACCATATTCTTGATCGTTTTTAGGTTGCAGGACATTTTGTTTCAAACCCGTACCCCTCCGTTTTCTTCAGCAAAGCTCCCTTCCCTCGTGGTTTTCTTATAGTGAACTGGTATAGCTGTATAACTGATGTAGTGCTCGCTGTGATGGTTAGCACAATCAGCCGAGACAAAACATGTGCTACTACATTTTTTTATTAATCCGTGTATGCCTTTTACCGACATATTGTAGCTGTCAGTGACGGGTCAGTACGACTATGTGTTCCCACTCACAAAAAACGCGTTTGGTTTCTGGCAATCGATAACTGCCTTTGCCACCGACCAGATGTGGGGACATTGACTGAATGTTGTTGAAGAGCATCTGCATTTTTCGGATCATTGCGATGATGAGTTAGAACAAACGCTGTTCAGGCGATGGTAAAACAAAAGCTTTCACCAGCATGTAAAATTTGTCGCACATTGAAAAGACCTACCACTGGTTGTGACAATAATGAAGTGTTGTACATAATTCTGCTTACCGCTGTTGGTAATCGCTGCAACGTCAAACCAATGATTAGTGGGTGCTCGTGTTTGTCTACATGAGCATTTCTTTACAGCTAAGGTGGTGTGCCACTTTTTGTTTCCGCTTGACTGTTTACTCCGAATGGTTCACTGACCACTCGAAAGTTTGACCGATAGGCATGTATACTTCATTGTTTGATGTCACCCTTCATACAATAAAAAATGAAGATGAATACTGGTAGTCATAACTGCGATTTTTGTTCGTAATTTACCCCCAACCATCGTGCTTCGAATACTTAATTTAGACACTCTTAACGAGCTTACCTTAAGTTCCTCAGGCATGTCAGTTGTTCCTTCTCCGCATTCCCATTCTTGATAGGTTTCCTGGCTTGCTACGTCCTCAATCATTTAAACCGGAGAGATGCTATGACCGGGGATGTCGCAAGCTGCCGTTGTGCACTCATTTGCAACCCACTTACGGGCATCAGACAAAACGTTGTGGTTGTTCATTCTCGGTTATGTTACAACCAAAAGGATCACAACTATCGTTGTTCTTTGGACAGTACTTTCAGAAATTGGCACCACGACGCTTAGTTATCGAAGGTTTCTTATCACATCCATATTTTCGGCGTTTTCCCGCTCATAAAACTAAATACTTTCGGATGCATAAATAATATTGCTTGTGTTTTGTGAACCAATGGCGTGTCGTATCGCAATATGATGGAGCGTTTCTGTGAACCTGACTCAGGCGGCATAGCGTGTCCACGCAGCGGTACCACATATAATCGGTCAGTGAACTAATACATAGATTGATCAGCTTTGGTCAACCGACCGTAGGATTAGTTCTTGAGGACGATAAAAATGCGGTATCAGGGCAGTTCATCATTTAGTTTGCTTTTTCCTTCATCGTGCATCACTCTATTTTCCGCCCAGTAGGTGTCCTCACTTTCGTAGATTCGAATTATTTTCTATCGTTATACTTGTAGATACAGTAACTCTAGAGGAAACGCCACCACTGGGAAAATGGCTTTTTGGACTCCCTTGGGTAATAGTCTCCCTTCGCAGGTATTGTATAGGATCTAACATCAGGGCACCGGGTCGTTGGAAAATTGTACGAAAAGTTCATTCAGAAAATGTGTCGCACTTTAAAAATATAGTTCAGTTGACGCTGAATACCCTCAGTTTTGAAGTCAGGTTTGGGTTTCAGGAAGGTAGATTAGTTGCTGGGCAAAAGTTCGCTTTTGACACAAAAGCTGAGTCAGGTTGGTCGAGTTTTATGTTCTACAGGGAGCCATTCAACAGGTTGTTCAACCAGTAGACCTCAAGGCGGACTGCTTTGGTTATTTGGTAAACTGAATGTTGCCCTGATATCACCCACTCCACCTTATTTTCTTAAAAAAAACACCCTTACTGAAGTTCCCCATTCATGTTAAGTCCTATCTTAAGGCTTATTTTTCGAGAAATACACTCATTTACAAATCAATTTGGTTTTCACGAGACTCAACTGAATCTCTCGTTTATGATATTCTACAACTGAATGTGCTGCGCACAGGTCGCCTCATGATTCAGTTGGTACGATATTCAAGATATCGCAGTATATTTTCGTAAAGGAAACTACTCACAAGGTTGCTGAAAACTCTCCGACAACCCACGACCGGTTTCACCTTCCTTGGGGCTCATCAGGTAGGCGCAGTCCCCGAGTTTCCGTCAGCCTTATGTTCTACTTGAGCCCAAATTGGACCGTTTTCGCCCAAGAAGGTCGAAACCGGTCTTGGGCTGTCGAAGAGTTTTCAGCAACGTTGTGAGTAGTTCCCTTTGTGAAAAACTTTATTTTTGGTCAGCACGGTTGGGACTTATGGAAGTAGGCATTGTTTTCTACTCGAAATGTTCTCTGCCGAAACTTTCGCAAGTAAGAGACCATGGTATCGCAACGCGAAGCTGGCTTGGTTGCAGTCAAATAGGGGGCGCTGGGAAGTTCCGTCTTCCGGGCTGGGCTCATGTGATCAAACCGCCTACAGGATATGACATTTAACCGATCCGATTTGCGAGCATGCTATCACTTCCTAGCTAGAATACATAGCTAATAATTGTCGGTTTTTGCACACTGGGCCCATGTTGGGTGATGTTATTCTTCATTGTACAGCAGTAAGGCACCATTATTTTCTACTAGTTTGTTGTCAAGTATGATTATGCCTTCATCTGTGTACAGCTTATCGGTCATTAAACCCAGTCAGTGATGTGTTAGTGTGCTGCGCTAAGCACGTGTTTATCAGTGTTCCACTGGAGGAGTTAAAGGAGGGACTGAAGCTGATTGTTATTCACTGCAAGTTAATCACTTCTCCAGTGTTAAGAGTAGGATTCTGGATGTGAAACCGGGTAGGGGTTGGGGTAACACTGCCTGGTGTGGAACAGAATCTTGGACGTTTTGGGGTGATTTACTGCGTTTTCCAGAGACAGGAAATTGCCTAACAATTCTGGGGGGGGGGAATACTCATTCGGGACTATCCTGAGGAGACGTCTCCACTTAGAGCCACTCTCGTAGAAGTATCTTAGCGGTTTAATTGAAGTGAAGAATCCGAATTCCCCGGGATCTGGGCGAATTTCATCTGACGGAAAGCTTAACTTGTGTTGATGCTGTTGTTGTTTTCTGGGTAGTGGGACATAGGGAGTGAATAGATACCATGTCTGCCCCATTTTTGGTATACTTTTTCGCAAAGAACAATAAAATCAGTCAGTTAGCTGAAAAACTAATGTCTCAATTATGTGTTTGAGCAGGTTTTCCAACTTGTGTTCGGCTATCGCTATGGTTGGTCGTATAAGGGGTGGGTCTACCGAAGACTTCCACAAGCAGAGCACTTTTCCGCAATGCAGTCATGTTTATTCTGATTTGAACTCAACATTATCTGGATGAGATAACGACGATATCGCTCTGATACACGAATACATTCCCGTCATACTAAGCAGAATGCCCTATTCTCTCCGTATCGACAGTTTGGGCGGACTTATCAATTCCAAACTTTTGGCTTGTTTTTCAAAGTTCCTCCAGTTAGTAAACGGTTTCTCGCCTGTATGTGTGTGTCTGAAGTGCGCTGCTATACCCTGCCTCCTTAGTTTGCACATGAAACAAGTCCTTCCATAACATTTGAGGTTTGTCTTTTCTGCTGGTGTTGCTGTCGCACGTTGTCCAACATCCAGTACCTCGTAACCAGCTGGGCCTTATTGCACACTTTCTGGTTCCACTCAGACGATCTAGCGAGTTGATACTGTTTCCTATTTCGCATGTGCTGCAGTCATGCAGCACATTCACCAGTTCGATCGATCCACCCTTCGTTCTTTTGCGTAGGCGGAAGAAAATTATGAACTTGTTTTGATGTGTGTTTGATGTCCTTTCTCAGCTATATTCTGACGCGCAGGCATGCCGTCACTAATTATTCGCACGTACCTAGATGTGTCTGGCTTCATTGAATGGTCCACACAAGGATGTTTATCCCTGTTTTCCAATCACAACCTAGCATGGCTGTGGTTGAATTTTGGATGTATTTTTTTATCTGAGGTATTTTGTTGCGTTATGCTTTATTACACGCGATGTTTGATTCTTACCACCACGATGGCTTGTTGGCCGATTATGTAACCAAGTTATTCAACATGACTGCTTGTGAATGGAGACACACAACCCAATGGATTCAAAATTATGACATCGTGATGCCTTCGGTTAAACTCCTGATCCTCTCGCTGGTTGGGGCGCACAATTAACCTGGGATTCGTGCATATATGACCATTTTGAAATCGGTTATGACTGCTCTACTAATTATGGGCTAGTAAAGGTTTGGTATAGATCCTCTTGTTATGTCGGGGGCGAAATGGCTCAGTGGTTAGAGCGCGAATTAACTAACCGGAAGGCCCGTGGTTCGAACCTGACCTTCGTCTCTCGACTTCCCCTATCTGGGCTTGGGCAGCCCGGTAGTATCCCAGCCCTCGTGCTTCCTTTGGGTGGCATGACAGCTAGGCACCGAAAGGATGCTATAGCTGAACGATTTTCTTATGTCCGGATATCAGCGAATCCTCTTTATGAAAGCTGAAAAAGTAAATCCAGCTACAGTTGGGGCCATAAAAAGTATACAAAAAGATTGTTCAAATGAGAATCCTTCCTAAAATCTCTTCCCCCTTGGTTTCATTATTTGTTAGATACAGGGAAGTGTGGACGTATAATTGTTCGTCTGATGTAGCCTTAGCTGCCAACAGGTTATACTGATAAGGGTGGGAGATGCCATCAGTAATACGTCCACACAGTTTAGAGGTTAGAGAAATGCCTATTCGCGATGTGAGAACTAGTATTTCTGGATTTCAGACCCGCACATGCGAGCGATAAATCTTGGACACCCCTGTTTTGATCTCCATCAATGTCATGGTCATCGTCGCTGATGGCAACATTAGTATAGGACACTAGTGCTCCGCTTCCGTACAGCCAATTAAATGATACCCTGTATGAAAAAGGTGACAAGTGGTAGTTGTTTTTAACGCTAAACTTCCACAAGAATCCGCATTAACTGGACCTCAAAATGCTCATCCTCATCAAGCTGGAAATTAACTGGCTGCTAACTGCAAGGTGTTTGATTGATGGTGCCTCGATAACGAGTGCGCTAACGTGGGTTTTGTAGAGTACAGGTCACTGTATGAGTAGCGAAGTTAGTCGGAATGGGGACTTTTGACTGCGTAGAGTATGTCAGTTCGCGCACATAAAAGGATCGATTCTTGATTCCTCCGATGAGTGCACCACGTGGTATAGTATTGCTGTCAGTTAAGTAGGTATCGTACCTCTACCGACTGTTAACAGTAATAAATTTGCTCTCATTTGTTCTGTGTGTGATCATTTGTGGGGACTTGTTGATACGAGCATTAATTCCATCACTTTGATAGATGACTGTTCATAGGTTACTATCGATGCAAGTTTCTTGCTGGTGTGTGTGTGTGTGACGAACCGTTTTCGGGACAGAACTTTTAGCAGCACATGAGTACCGCGTAATATTGTATGTATTTATCGTACTTGGGTCTTCTTCAGAAACATGTACGGTACTATAAAAATTTCCCTGTGTAAGCGGTGTACACCGTAAAATTAGGACAGAAGTGTAGCCGACCCACATACCATGGGGCAGTTTAGCCTACTTAATGTGCATGTTAACTCCTAGGTTCAGTTGTTTTATATATGGTTGATGTAGAACGATGCGAAATCAATCGTTCATCAGTGGAATCGAAACATATTTCCGTATATTTCGACCAAATATCAAACACCTATACGCTGTTGGCTATCTAAGGAAAGTTACTCGAGGCGTATAGACGTTTACATCGTGATGTGAGTTACATTGATTAAAATATGGACCCTCAGTAGTTGGACCGAAGCGTTTTTCTGGCGGACAGAAATCATGCTTGACCTGAACCAAGGATTCTAAATGACGGAATGGGTTTCCTCTCCAGTTTAGAATCACGATTATTTGGCGTCTTTTCATTCAAATGTCTTCGCTTTTTCCTATCCTGCAATGTTTCAGCGCCATCCCTCACTGAGATCCGGTGTTAGAGGCAGAGTTAGGTTTTTCTTTGTCTGCAACTGCTTATTCGTTTTCCATTTTGTGGCACATGTTCTACTTTGCGTGCGATTGCAAACTGTCAACCGATCGATTCGTCCCCCACACGAATGGAAAGTTCCAATTAACCACATGTGTTTCGTATTCACTCTTTTTCCACTGTGCATCGATCTGATCCGATTATTCGCATCCAGCCGCCTACTGGTATCCCCTATTTGCCAGTTTCGCATAAATTTTCATCCCGTTGGATTGTTTCTCTTCCCGGTCAAAATTTTCGTTTCCATCGTTCAAGCTACATCTATCCGTTCTCCTTCATCACAGCGCAATTGTTGGGTGCATGACCTATTTGTTGATCTGCGCAACGGCTATCTCCTGGTCCGGCTACTCGAAAGTCTAACCAACGAACTATTAGTGAGTTCATGCTTCCTGAATTCTAATTGCATTTTCTGTTTGCAAAATTTGGTTTCCAAGCTTTTCTTCGGGTCGATCCCGCAGGAGAGGAATCGGATCGGTGGAACTCCTTGTTTTGAAGTAGTCACTGAAGCACCAAAACCAGTGGGTGACGTTACGATCTTGCTCTCTATATTTTATCTTTGCACACAATATTGATTGATTGGAAGCGCCATGCAACTGCAACTTGTCTGGAAACATCAGCCACATACTGCGTGACAGAAATTATTAGATCGCCTTACTTATCACACAGCTTACGTTATTTTTCCGAAAATTGGTGCTTCCTAGTCAAGTGAGCAAAGGTGTACACGTGATCACTTCCAAAGATTAGTTTCTTCGACCAACCCAACTTTGGAAACCAGAATGTCTATTCTTAATTTTCCCGAACTCGCAATAGCTCACCGGTTAAGGCGCGAGCGGATGTGGAAGTCGCTTCGAGGATTCCCCTTAATACTCGCAACTTAGTGTTAAGAACATCGCACTGGAGTGGGGCCGCATCAGTGTCATTAACTGACGGACTGGCGCTAACAGTTTGGCCTCTACGTTACATCTCCCCCCTACGAACATATGGGTCAAGATTGCAGCCATTTGTATTGCGGCATGGTCGCAAATCGCACGACTCAAAGAGTAACTATCAGTGAGTGGGTCCTTACGTTACTGAAGTTAACTGATACAGTCACAATTTCAACGAACAAACACAATATAATGATTCACTGTAAACGACGTCTACCTTCAGTCTGAACATAAACCTTACACGTGCAATAGGTCATAGTTTGCACGAAAAGCATTAATCAGTTAGGGGCTAGAACCAATCCTTTCTTAAATACCGTACTTGTAATTTCCTGTTCGCATGACGGAGGGCGCTTGTTTTTCATCACGGAAATTTTCTTCCAGACCATATCTGTTTTTTCCCAAACCCCAAACTGTAACAAATCAAACTCTCACTTGACCACACCCACCGCACGGAATTCGAACGCCAGGTGACCTTTTGGATTACTCATCAGTGGTCTGACTTTCCTCGATATCGACAAACGAGTCTTAGGATTTCAGTCACCTGAGACCTGACACAATGTATGAGCCTGTCAAGCCCCAGTACCTGGAAAAGAATTACCAAAGGAGTAACAGCACATGTTTATTTCCGCATACGGGCGATTCTCTTGCCCATTTTGGATCTCGGACACGCTTGTAGACACGCAAACGTGAAGGTTTATTTATACGCACCGGTCTTACCTGTGTTGTCGACTGTATGGGCGTGCTCCTTGTCACGGTAGCCTATGGTATCTCGTTTCAGAACGTGACTTCGCTATGAATGTCGCTGGCAGTGCTTTGTAGTGCATTGTTGTCTGTGTCATCTGTAAGTATCAACACCGCAAATTTTCATGAAGTAATTGAACACTTCCCGAAGAAAAACACCTGGGCAATCCTTGTGGGTTTTCATCTGAGGAATAATTACTCAACATATCACGTGGTGACGCAAATTGGTCTCAACGCTCATTGGCCACTGGTAGCTCAGATTAGGACTGTTCGCCTACTCTGTCTGTACGGCAGTGAAGCATCGGTGTTGAGCACTGATTTCTGCTGTCGATGATGATGATGATGATGACTACTCTGAGGTTAGCGATTCGAATCTCACCCGAAATTCTGGGTTTTTGCTACCGAGATTTTTCATCAAAAATGAGATAGCTATACAGTACTTATCACTATTGGACATTGGCTGATTATGTCTCAGAAATTGAGGTCCAGATTTCACGTTTTATTTTGTCCCAAGTTGTGCATCTATCGTGTTCACAGCTGATATTCACAAAACAACAGGCGGAGGTCGTTGAGCTGGCGAAAACTCCGTGACGGAGTAACGATCAGAAACCCAGTTTTCCAGCTACGTTACCACCACCTTTTGTTGTCATTCCCATTCCTCTCGCTAAAACATGTCTACCTGTCTCAGCTAATTTATAACGAAGTGTCTTCCCGTCTGCTTCCCCCAAGGAAAACTCCAACCCCCAGTGTAAAGTTTGGTGGATACTTGCCCGCAAGCAAGCCAACCAACCTAACCATCTTTCCTCTAGGCACAAACCGCTCAACTCTTTCCGTTCTTTGCGTATGACTGCTTGTGTTTGTCTATCAACATTTAGTGGATCAATGGTCCAAACCACCTTGCTGAATAAATATCGTTTCACTTGATCATCTCACCGACTTCATTTTGTCCATTGGTGCCACAAGTGCCCGTAAACACAAAAATGGTGGTGTCAGAGTTGACGGACTTTCATCTCTCTGGGTTGAAAACATTTTTTGCTGCGATAGGCTTGACGGACAGTTCATACTGAATGAGGATAAAGCAGACAAGTCTAGTTTTGTGTGTTGTCCTTGGATGTTTATAGCTATGTGTATGAAGACGGTAGCACGTGTCGTTGACTAGAGATAAAAGTACACTAGTAGAGTAGGTTGGATGATGTTGGATGGTGTTCGCTGTGGAGATTCGGACTGTTGGATTAGCGTGCTGTTTGGACCTTCAGATCTGAAAGGTTTGTGCAATTGGTAAGCACACTTCCACTTTGTTTTCTTATACGGTAGAATTTGCATAGAGTTCTTAAACTACAAAATGAGACGTGGACTATGGTTCAAACGATAGCGTGTAACCCTCTGTGGATAGTCCGGCGATAATCTCTTTGTACATTGGTCAGTATTCGAGTTTCCAGCCGTTGTGATCCTCTTTTCACTCTTTACTTACTTGATACATTTTCGAACAAGGACTTTCAGATTAGACCATTGTCTAAGGGAGTTAAATAAACTTTGATTTCAAACCTCCCGTGGAGGGCGCATTAAGTACTCTTGCCCCGGCCATCCAGGATTCGAATGAGATGAAACCCTCCGCTGCACTCTTAACTAGGATTACACAGGGAACCCCTTCCTCCGCACCCTTCATCCGCAGGGTGCACTGACTGGACCTCAGTCGTCGGTTCCCAACGGATGGTGAATTCCGTGCGTCACCTCCCCCCGCCTTGTGTGTTAAAGGCCCCGCGTAAGGTTCCTCAAACGGGCATCTTCTTCGATCTGCACACGCTCTCACAAATACGAAAGTAGAACTCTGGCGAAACTACGCTCGCTTTCCTGAACTCTAAAAGAACTAACGTACCCTTCCAACCACATCCTCCCTTTATTACAGTAGAGTTTTGTACATAATATCACCTTATCACCGCCCCCTTAAAACTTGTCTGCATTGCTGAATTCACAGGATTTTTTCACGTTAGCTTCTTGTGATGTGTGAACGTTCTTTAGGATTCGAGGGCCAGCAGTTTTATCCAGGTCTTCCACCTGCCCACAGGGATAGCTCCAGAAATATTTCGGATGCGACACAAATTTCATTGAGTAGCGTTCTGTCAAATTCGAATTTTTGGTTTTCCGTAAAACTCATTACCTTTCTCCGTTTTGTAGGGTTTCGAATTTATTGAGAGCCGTCTACACTGGATACAGAATGTCCAACGTGTGTTGAATTTCCTAAGATACCGTGGAGTAAGTCTCTTTCTTTCTTTCTATATCTACGTTCCGGATTGCTGTCAACGTAATCTCCTCCTCTCCACAGCTGGCACCGTATCGCCATGGTTGATGGACAACTATTTAATCCTCAATTAAAGACTGTCCAGTTTCAGAATACCTTATCTTCTGAACGGGTCTAGAGACCCTCGTAGCCCTCGTATCAAGAGCATCCAAGCTTGTCAAACTGAGGCGTCTCAGGATATCCCGTTAGATGCCTGTCCAAAGTCAAACCCCTCATCGGAAGGACATTTTAACTCTAAGCTTCCCATTCTGTTACATTTTCTCCATTACAGACCATTCAGATAAACTGACGTGTCTGTACGGCAGTGAAGCATCGGTGATCTCTAATGATGCCGTTAATACTGTTGAATATCTCCTCCGAAGAGGTCCTGCTTCTAGAAGGGGCTTCATACTGGTGTAGTTAAAGAGGTGATTTTCCAAGCAACGAGGACGCCTCCGGAACACTTATATAGCAAACGTTTTCCTAGATTGACAGTTTACGTGTAAATCTGTCGGACGATTTTGTTTCCGTTACTCTCTCGCTGTGCCTGGCAGGTAGAACCTTCACTTGTCGTCGTATTGTCGCTTGATTTGCCTCATGTTTGAATCCGATGTGAATAAGCCACCGGTGATGTTTGTGTGAATTTCACAGCTTGCGGTATTCCTCTAATCCTGTCAAGCAACATTTATTTGCCTATGCGATTTCTTCGTGTACAGTCTTGCCTGTGGCGACACGTTGTTTTACTGAATTCTTGTGATCGTAACTGGCCATGTTTCCAATGTGTCTTATTCATACTATACCTGGGATTCCACTGCTACCGGTGCTTTTCTGACGTGCAAAAAGTGATGAATCGGCAGGCGTGTGAATTATTTCCACAAATTTCGGTTCGGTAGATCACAATTGTGTTATGGTCGCTTCTAGCTGCGCCCTCAAACGATTATGGTTTGCCAACGCTTGTAGTGTACTAATATTATAAGGTTATTTTTAGGGAACCCAGTTATTCGCCAAAGGCTGACCACTTGACCACGCTGCTATCACAAAGTGATTGATAATTCTTTGGGCAAGTCTCTTATATGCGCTGCCTGGAACACCCCCTGAGGATTTTCCCGTTACACTTCTGTTCAAATCCCCTAAGACCTTTATTTTGAATCTCCTGACCAGGACTGTAAATTAATGCACGTTCACTCGCGTACTCGCGCAGTGCGCTTACAGTTCGGACACTATCAGTGTTTGTCCAGAAAAACTTGTCGATTTCAGGTCTCGCACGTATGATCGTTTTTTCTTCATTGCATTCATGTCCTCATGCCAGTAACAAGGTCTGTTTATTGTACCTGTTTTTTTGATAAGCCTTTCTGAGTTAGCTGGTTCAAACTGGTTCCTAACATCATGTGAACTGCACCCTTTCCATTTACGAAGTTTGTGAACAAGGTAGTTGAAACTTTGATCCGCTCCAGAGACACGATGTGTATGCCAGTTGTTAACAATACGAAAATAGTTCTTGCCTACAGTAGGGTTGCGTTTTTATTTCGTCTTGACCCTTGAAACAATGCTCAACACCTAGATAACTTTAATCCTCTGGGATTGGGAATGTTTCACCACCCTAAGCTATCTGTCCTACTGGTGCATATGAAATTAAGAAAGTAAGCATCTGAAAATACCTTTTAGTGGCAAGCTCACGGTTCCACAGCCCGGTAAAGGTGGCTTTCTATGCAACATTCGTTCGCATTTCACCTACGGTCACGTCTTTGTTGTCTGCAATTACGACACTTTATCGGGGAATGAAAATAGAGGACGGGAGTATTCTGACAACTTGTCTTCCTGGTGCACTTCACTTACTAGGCCTCAATCGCTTGAACCTACATCTGGTACACTGATGCGCCACCACCTCTGACCATGTGTCCACCATATTTTTTTATAAGCTTTCTTCCTTAGTACATTGTCACCTCAGAATCTGAAATGATTCCACGATTCTCATCTTCTCGCTGCAACGAACTGAATTAGTCCATGTTTATCCATGTTTTCTGCTTTCAGATTCGAATCGTGAACATACGAGCTGACGAAATTGTTGATGGTAATCCAAAACTAACTCTTGGATTAATCTGGATCATTATCCTGCATTTTCAAGTAAGTCTGTTTTCCCCTTGTTCCGATTTCGTTTGTGTTCATGTCCGACATCCATCGAACGATTGCTATCCACCAAATCCCCAGATCGATTTCCCCAGCCATACACGCAGCAGCCTGCCTACTCGCTGCTATGGCAACTGACCTAGATCAGAATGGTATCATTTATATCCGGGGCATTATTGCTGATTTCCACGACATCCCCGGTTTTTGTGCTGTTCTCACGGCTAGGATAAGGCACACATCCCTAGAGCTTCCGGGTTGCGAGCTTATTTTTGCCTTACATGTCGCTTCCCTTATCTCGACTACCGCGTGGCACATCCGCAGTCATTTGTAGGATTTTAGGTTCGTCGCTGTCGCATTGCCATGCTTTTCTTTCTTACCTCGACATATGTGAAACGAGTTTCCTAGGTTCCATATGGGTTCACAGATGTGGGCAATTTCTGTTCTCGTTGGAAACTGTCCGAATGTTTTTGGCGTGTATTGATGGGTGGGACTTCTTAACTCGTGTTGGTTAACAATCAGTGTGTCTCACGTCTATTCGTTTACTTTCTTGAGTCTCCATCGTCAGAAGTTTCCAGCAGGTAAATACGGATTACAGTCTAACTGAAAGCAGTTGCATATGAAAGACTGCATCGCGGCTCAAAGGAAAACTGTTTCTAACCTCGAATAGACTGACTGCAGACATTGCATGCCTTGTAAACGAGTGGCCATCTTTTGGGCACTTGATCATGTGGATGAAGAAACACCACCACCATTCCCACCACAGAATCCTCAACGCGACAGTAAATGTTACTGCTGGTTCTTTTGGCGATGCACCGAAATCGCTCCGAATATAGCTATGGGGTGTTTCAGTGAAGTGGAACTCATGATGTGTAGGTCGATCGTGATTGAGAATGGACTACTGAGTCGCTCTGTGTGCGCGCCTTTAGCAAGGTGTACGACCCAATGAGTTGAATGACGTCAAAGAAAACAAGGTTATTTACTCGCAGCTCAACGTCTACAGGAATTGTAAACAGCTGCGGTATGTTTGAGATCTTTTCAACCTAGTGGACCCTTTTGAATTCGCCTGTCCCTCCGTTTGGCCATTTTATTGAACCGGCACTCATGCTTGTGGGGTACACAACGGAACTGCCGATTCCGGTATCAAATGGAGATGCACAAGTGGACTTCATTGTGGCCTCTGTTTTATCGTCGTTATTTTGAATTAGTGCAGTTGGTAAATCAAGCTAGTGGCCAACAGTTAGGCCGTTTTTTAATGTTTTCTTCAGTTGGATCACCAGACGCCTATTCACTGCTACTGATTGCGTGCCACGTAGCTTGAACAATCCACTTGAGAATACGCGTTGTTTCGGAACATTTTCTCACGTGATATTTGGTATCACGAATCATATTTTCATTTCTAGTGCTGAGTAGTTCTTGCGCTAGCACCAGGTTTCTCACGCAGGCTGCATCAGTTGCGGTGCTGGTTTCGTAACCTCATGGTATTCTCGTCTGAATTCGATTTTTATATCTATTCGTGTTACAACTTAGTGTGTATCAAAAAGACGCCTATCTCCAGTATTTAGACCAGCGGCCATCAACCCGAGAGTAGGTGGGTGTGGAATTATGATATTTCAAGGGAAAGATGTAAGGGCGTAGACATACCTGTGTGTATGTCTGCGTTGAAGAGGATTCGTTCGCCCAGACGGATGTTATTAAACAACTTGTAGTTACAAACCTATAGCATATTAGTGGATGCTTGATATATAAGTTGCCGGCATCGTCTGCGAATGAAAAACAAAGACGTATACTCAAGATTGACTGTCACGATATTTAAGCACAGATCATTGGGCACGTGACAGGTGTACTAGTAGGCGGTCCTATGTGCGTATGTAACTTAGTTGGTGTGATATTCGTATACTGAACATATGGAAGGTCTAAAGTGAGAACACAGGGTAGTGGAACAGTGTAGTGTAGCGTAAAATACAATGTAGTTGTTATAACCCAAGTTTTCGGAGACCGTGAGTAACCGATTCCGGGTGGGTCACACAACCAACCACCAGTGACGGCATCTCCTCGGTTTGTGCCGACCAACAAACCAACAACCACGTGATACTCGATGAGCACTTGTCGAAATCTTCGGCCTTTACAAGGGAGCAGAGAAGTCGACATGTGCACATTGTTTGTATCTGTGTGAATCTGGTTCGGGAATTTGAACGGGTACTTAACTCCTTATGCTCATAACGGAGCGTTCCCCTTCTTGAATGAACTCATATATTCAATTCTCTGAGTTTGGATGGAGGATATCCATCCAAACTTTTTTGTTGGTTTGGTATACATAAACTCTATTTAGCCGATCAGATATATGCTCTGTGGTGAGACTTATAGATAACTTGTCCCGCACCCTAAGAATTATCATCTGAACGTAAGTTGCTTGTTGAACCTGTGTTGAAACAGTTTCAGTGATACATTGAACCTAGTAGCACTGGCCTAAGACACTGTCTGCAATCTGCTACAGACTGGGGACTATGTTTTGAACTTGGAGTTGCTCTATTTTGAGAGTCCTGTTGTTGAAAATGGCTAGGATTCCCTAACCTGTCTATTTTGAAGTTTCCTGGATTTTCGGATTACTGGCGAATCTACTTCAGTCTAAGCGACTGGTATTTTAGGAGAGCCCAATGAATGCATGTAGAAAGCGAATTTCTCTATCAGTGACCATTTCTTTGGCAGAGTGGTGCTGAGAGGATTGCCCATCTATTGACTATACGCAGTTATTCCTGTTCTGTCTGAATAACATTCAGTGTTTGTCTTACTTTCAAACCACAGCGTCTGGTTTAGTTGAATCGATTCGATCGTTGGAATAGCCAAATTCGATTTCGTCGCTATCGATTATTAGCCTTGATAGTCTGTTGTATCTTACTTTCCTGAGCCTCCCTTCTTACCTCCCTGACTTACGTTTCCCCCCTCATTTCACTTCACCGCAGGGCTTTCATTAGAACGTTTAACCTCTGAGAACTCAACTGGTTTTCATAAATTTCATTTTTTCGTCACAGTGGTCGTTCGTCACGCAGTCTCACATTTTACCTTTTCTGTTGCTTACTGTCTTTAGTTATTCTGCTAAGTTCTGTCCTTGTAAATAGCCTTGATGCACGACATCCAGCGGATCCATATTTCTTTCTGACTATAGTAATCTCCTAGTAGGGTACCTTTCGAAGAAAGCCATCCCCACATTTGCGGAGAATCTGCAAAGGTGCTTCCACTCTTTCATAACCTAACGCGCGATCCTCTGGGAAAGATACCACTCTCCAAAAGCGGCCAGATAGTCCATCCAAAAATAAACATACTTCTACTCTGAATTTCTCCAGCGCGTTTCTAGAGTCATCTGTACTGGATGTTGTACAAGATGGCTTCTGGTAGCTTTTCCGTAACACGTATTTTATGAGGTGATTTTATTGTCTCATGTTTCTAAAAACGGATCTAATTTGTCCGTCTTTGGATGGTATACTTTTTGGTCTTTGAACATCCTGTTGTTACCGCGTTTTCATGAATGGTAGGACCTTTTTATTTCGCCAAAACATGGTCTGGCATAGTGCAAATATGGTTCTGTCTAAGTCGAGTATCTTTTTCAATCAATCAGAAATAGTCTACGGTGTCCTGTGCTTCAAAATCCGTCTCTTTATTCCATGTAGAATGGCGACGTGTCAGTCCGCAATTCAGTTGTGTAGGTTCAGTCCCGCTTTTTGTACCTGATGGTCCTCTAGACGGATAAATCTAATATATATCGGGGGTGGGTCGTATGCCGTTTACTACTGGATCTTGCCAATTAACCACTTCACCTAGCCCTACTACTTTAAAGAGCCTTACCTCGGTCACTATATCGTCAGAAAGACGCACTCTAAAACTTCACAGACATTATTGTCGACTGTTGGTCATGATAATGGGAATGCTGGTAATGTGAGAAAATTTGTCTGCATATGAAGCCAATCTATGCTGAAAAGCCAAAAAGCACTGTACTTGTCAGCTTTTCTGGATAGATTGGTTTCAATACGAAATCTCCACGAATGGGAATGCCCCAACA